GGCAGGTCATTTGAAAAGCGCGAATATAACCCATACGGCTTCAATGTGTTGGGACAAACCTGAGAAAGGACCCGAAGAGCAACTTGAAAACAATTCTTTATTGTAAGGATCAATAGAAAGATACATACATTCTCAACTTTCTACATAGCTGTCGGGTTCAAACGGTCAAAGTCAATATTAACATTTTCGGAATGTCTTTCAAGAAAAGCTCTCGATTTTGAGCTACTTCACAAATGCAATACAGCTCAAGACAAAGATAACCGCTTTTTTATAATTTTCCCCAGTTTATCAAAACGGGATGGCTTTGAGTGACTTCTTGCTTTCTTGGGTGGCACAATAAAGCCTACGTCTCTCTCGATAGCACGGAAAAGAGTTTCAAATGCGTCACTCAGAAAACATGGATCTCTGCATTCAGGATGGCACGCCAGGTCTTTACTTGACTCACATTCAAGCTTTACGTTTAGATCCGCTCCAAGTGTTGTAACAATGGCAGGTTTGACCCTGGCACAGTCTAGTTCCTGTATGTCCCGTTGGAGATCTGCAGCTAGTTTGACTGATGATGAGTCAGTGAGGATAACAAAAGCATCACCGGCTGAAAGGATCTCCAGTTTGGTAGATGGTTCAAATGTTACCATATTATAGGTCACCGAGATTCCTATAGTCCCCAAGCTGTAGATGCCTCGACCCTGAAGGAGCTGCTGTATTCTGAACTGATACACAGACTTGAATTGGGTTTCAATATCAGCCAGTGTTTGGAAGTGCAGATCGCATGGAAGCATGCTGAGGACGGTTACAGTGAAAGTATCGTTCAAGACATCGGTGCTGTTGGTCCTGATTTCATCCATCTCTGCCTCTCTTGATACTGTGATGCGTTCAGACTCTTCAATTGGCTTGAAGATGTTCTGGACCTGGGAATGTTGCAGATGCCAGTCGGAAGGAGTATGAACCGGAGACTCACCGTTTAATCTTATATACTCTAGAGCTAGCTATGTATGAGCTTGTTTATCTCACATATTTTGCAAAATAACTATATTTAAGACCATCCGTGACGTTGTAATGACGTAGAAGTGTTGTTGATTTTCACGCCTCTAATAAAAACGTGATATTAAAGACTATTTTAGCAGTGTTTATTTAAGACCTTGATGATCTGTATGCCTGCCGTTGACGATTTGGATGGGTAGCAATTCATTTCCCAAAGGTTACATTGTTTGTTATGTCAAATATCAACGCAAATAGGCCCTTCGAACAAGTTAGACATATCCTCTCTGACTGTGCAAATTTAAGGCAGGTATACAGTGCATGTAAATATAAATTGAGAACACTATGGTTTCTAGGTACCCATCTTGCAGATACGTTGGGCATACCAAGATGCTCATGAATAATGGTTACAACAGTTCCAACTGATATTTGGAATTCCCTAGAAAGTTCAGATACTTTCACACGTCGGTCAGACATAATTCTTCTTTCTATAGCAGCAATGGGTTCCGGCTGGCTGGCATCTGAAGGCCTGTCTGACCTTGGGTCATCGTCTATGGACTCCCTACCCCTTTTATACTGTAGAGACCAACGGCAAACTGTGGAATAGTCAGGAGCAGCCTTACCCATCCCTTTACACATGCGATCATGGGTTTCTTTTGTTTTGCATCACTCCTTGGTAAGGAACTTTATTACAGCGCGTTGTTCATGTTTGAGAGAATCAATGATTGTGACCACCCTTAAGTGAATGAAGCCATCACATCTAACTTATTGTTGTGTCTGGAACTTGTTATGACACGTGTCAACCTGATGTAATGACTGGTGTCACACCTGCCACAAGTTGACATGGTTTGTGTAAACACAAATGCAAAACATATTGAACGTCCATCTTACATCACAACAAAACAATCCATTAAACATCAAACTTTAATTATTGAAAGAAAACTATATCAACGCGGAGAGTAGTAACGTCATGACATCTTCCGTCCCAAACATTCTGTTTGGAGTGACATCCCTTGGTTTTACAAACGGCAGAAAATGGTGGCTACCGCAATGCCATTCGCTTGAAATACAAGTTTCACCCAGTAAAGTTAGCGTTGGAATTGGAAATAAATCCAGACCCGGCTCATGCTGAAAATGGATACATATTAACCTTCTGTGAACCTTTGGTGTGTGTTTGAGTCATACTACGGTTGCTGATGACGGGGATTACCGCTGGAGGCGGCGCGGTTGGATTTACTGAGGCACGATAGTGTGGAGCTAGTGATTTCTTTTGGCAAGCCGAGCATTCTCTGTTGTAGTTTCGAATGGACGCTTCATTTCGGTGACCTCACATGTACATGATGTGTCTGACTTCAAAGCCTGCATCATTCATAGCCTAAATCGATGTCGCTCTCAGTTTCCCTAATTATTTTTAATGTTATTTTGAGACATTGAGGAATTAGCCTAAAGTAGTTCTGTGTGTCTCCGCGCGATTGACAACGTAATCACGTGACATACTGACGTTCCTCGGGAAATGAACGACAGTCAGCTTGGCAGTGTTCACCTGGGCGAGGTCACCCGCTACTGTCAATATCATGGAATGTGCGTGGTATTCTTCACAACAGTGACCATATTAGACGAGTCATTCGGGACCCGGACGACATGCTTGCTTTCCAGGTACATTGCCTCAGTGCTTGAAACATAAACAAACTTGAAAAACTATCCTGACAAGGTACTCAAAGTGAAGCCCTTTTCACTCCACATTCTCATTTGAGCACCTTGTTTTCTTTAAATACCGCGATCTGAGACACTATAAAGTGGTATTTAGGTAGATATAATACTAATCGATAGATGTGAATCCATGTCATGTTACATCTGTGAGGTTTAAGTTGATTTTGACAGCCCGGGCCAAGTCGGACCGAACACTTCTAACAGAGATTTTCTTAGGAAAATACAGTAAGAGTGCTTGACTTTAACGGACCAGTTTTCTTTAAATGAGGTGTACTGTGGCATTATAAAGTGGAACAAAGGTAGATATAACACTAGTCTATAGCTGTAAACACATTTGAAGATACATCTGTGTGTTTAAAGTGGCTTTTGACAGCCCGGGCCAAGTCGGACCCAACACAAGCCAGACACTTCTGATAGAGACTGTGTTGAGAATGTGGAGGGAAAATGGCTTCACTTTGAGCACCTTGGTTTCTTTAAGTACCGCGCCTGAGACACTATAAAGTGGTAGATATAATACTAGTCTGTAGAAATGAATCCATTTCGTGATTCATATGTGAGGTTTAACTTGATTTTGACAGCCCGGGGCAAGTCGGACCGAACACTGTGTGACTGTTGAGAGTATAGGGAGAAGAGGTATACTTTAACCAACGTGTCTGCTTTAAATACGATGAACAGTGACATTACAAGGTGGTATTTACTTAGATATAGTACTATCCTATAAATATAAACGATGTGCAGACAGATAGAAATTTATATCACGATAGCTAAAAAGTATTTGATACGTTTCAAATCTTATTTCGTTTAACGATTGCTCTTTTACATGTTACCTAGATCAGCGACGCTTACACACAGCTCCACTTTCTGGTTTTAAAGGGATTTACTCCAAATTACCTAATAATGGTGCACGTTTTTTTGGTCGGTCAATGTTCAATAATGTCATGTGTGTATGTTGCGTCGATAATATGTAGGTATGGTCGCCGATAATGAAGTAATTAGCCAATAACACTTTGGCCTGTCTTGGCCCGGCCCAATCTCATTAAAATCAGACCTCGGTTCTCGCTACAAGTAAACAGGGTTCTGAGGACATCCCATTAGGGGTCACGTCAGAACGACCTTTCATCCGAACAATCAGAGCGTCGCTTACCAGATTATGAAAGTGACAGTCGGAATGTGATTTCTAATCATCCAACCTCGAAAACGTTAACACGGGGTATTCCGAACGATAGTTACAGGTTTAACGACTGAATCCATACAATCTAGACCATCTATTAGCCATTCCAGAATGTTCTTTTGTTCAGGTTTCAAATTTGTAATCGAGAATTATGTATGAATCAAGATATGTTTCGAAGCGTAGTCGCCAATTTAAAATTAGTGCCGTAAAACACGAGAAAGCTGCCTTCTGATTGGTCATTTCATTGGTCGGTCAAAGTTCGCGCAAGGTCGTTCTGACGTGACCCATAATGGGATGTCCTCAGATCTTTGTTCAGCAGAAGCAAGAACTGAGAACTGATTTTAATGAGATTGGGCCCGGGCCGACTTTTAGGCAATGCCGTACCAAATTGCATTTCATTGACAAGTGCTATGCTTTAAGGACGTACAGTGCCCTCCTCGGACAGAGCATTCTTGAAAGATATATAATGTGGTTTATTAGTCATCATAATATACATATTCTCCTATCAAAATCCCAATCAACATTAGTCTTAGTATCTCATGGGTACTCCAGGGATGCAAAATAAAGAAAATAAGGAATTATAAATTTAATATTTGTTTTCCATCCTACTGATCCTAATAACTTACTTGTTCCCATCGCGATGCGTCTTCATTGATAGTTTAATAAACTAGTATCACCTGTATCACACACAGTCGTGTTGTTACCTTGTCACCGTATGTGCACAATGAACAGCACGTCTTCCTGACAGCACAATACTCGATGTCACTTCGATGTACAGAGAAAACACTCAAAATCATACAAAAGCGTTATTAAAATAATATCAGCGGCGAACACTAAACGTCGCTTACACCAGGGCTTTGTACATGTGTATTTGAATAGGTGAGTGTATATGTTGGATGTAGTGATGTGCATACTACTTGTACACACCATCACAGTAAACGAATGTCATACATCTAAACATACGAGGGGATATCAAAATGTTTTGAGCCTCACACAGTATTCCTGGTCGAATGGTACAATGCGCTACACCTGATGTACATGAATGTCTTAGCTACTGATGCTATGTAGAAACATATTGCTGGCTGCAATTATTTTGTCACAACACTTCGTGGGAGAGACCTACCCCTAGTGAATTGGCAAAATGGACAAATCTGAGTACAGAGCGGGGATAAAGTTCCTTGTCCTAGAGGGTCAATCTGCCAAACAGGTGGAAGAGCGATTGACTGCAGTTTATGGAGAGTCTTCTCCATCGTCTGCAACTATCAAACGCTGGGTGAAGGCATTTCGGCGTGGCAGAGAGAGCTTAGAAGATGATGCCCGGTCCGGACGGCCATCAACCAGTACCAGCCCTAAAAACACTGACACTGTACACAAACTTGTGATGGTAAACCGCCGTATTACTCTCCATGAGCTAGAAGAAACAACAGGCCTATCATATGGATCCAAACATAATATAATTCATGGCAAACTCCGCATGTCCAAAGTGTGTGCCAGATGGGTCCCGAGAATGCTTACAGATGACATGAAGCTATCAAGGGTCAGCATCAGTGGAGCCTTGCTAACTCGGTACAACGCCAACCCAGATGATTTTCATTTTAGGATTGTAACCAGTGATGAAACCTGGGTTTATCATTATGTACCGGAGAGCAAACAGGAGTCGATGGAATGGAAACACGCCACTTCTCCAAAGACAAAGAAGTTCAAAGCCACCAGTTCCACCAAGAAGGTTATGATGACCATCTTCTGGGACAGCAAAGGAGTGATTCACATCGGCTACCTGCCCCATGGTACCACAATGAATGGGGAGTATTACGCCAAGTTATTGAAGCAGGTGCGCCAATCCATCAAGGTGAAACGCTGTGAAAAAATCCTTCGTGGGATTCTGCTTCACAATGACAACGCACCAGTCCACACGAGCCGTGTTGCAATGACAGCTGTGCAAGAATGTGGCTACGAACTCCGCCCTCACCCACCCTATTCTCCAGACCTAGCCCCCAGTGACTTCCACCTCTTTCCCAGACTGAAAAAACACCTCCGGGGCCGGAGATTTGAAGATGACGATGAGCTAACTGCTGCTGTGGAGGGTTGGTTAGGGGACCAGAATGTTGACTTCTACCGATCGGGTATCAGTGACTGGCAAACTAGTTGGAAAAAGTGTGTGGAGTTTGGAGGAGCTATGTTGAAAAATAAAGTAGTAACAATCCAATTCTTTTACTTTTTCTGTGTGAGGCTCAACACTTTTTGATATCCCCTCGTACGTGTTGATGCTTTTTTAATCATATGTAGAACGTCTTGTTCTTATCGGAGACAAATACAGCCATGTAAGTGTTGAGTGTGTTAACCACGACATATGCCGCGGGGGCACCCAGATTTGGCTTTACAATTGTACCCATTCATGTGAGTTAGATTTGGCTTATTAGCGTGACGCGCCAACTCTTGAAGCCCAATACAGATTGGCTAAATACCTCACTTTGGAAGAGACAAGTATCACGTACATAAACCATTTCTTCGTTTAAGGCTTAAACTGCATCAGATTTTCGAAATGTTAATTATGAAGTAATCTATACCTGTGTTTTCAAATACATTTATCACGAAGAGATATAAACTGACGTCCAAACGAAACTTTACTAGCTGAAAATATAAATTTCGGACAAAGTATAATAATTTTTTTCGATGAAGTCTATCTAAAACACATAACCTAAATACAACAATAGTGTATGCAGAAAATGTTAATCGTCTGTTACATGTTTGCGAGATAACAATCGAAAAAGTGAAAAACACGTGCACCACGGACAACTGCAAATGCACGTGCGGGTAAGGGTATAAAACGATTGCAACGGCAAGTCAGACATCCACAGTGATAAAAAAACACAAAAGGAATGCCACGACTCACAGTCGAACAACTTGAACGAGTCTTGGGTATGGTACATATTGGAGCCACCCGCACCCATATTGCACGAACCTTCGGTTGCTTCCGTGTTGCCGTTACAAACTTGATGCAACGTTACAGACAGACAGGGCGGACCGCTGACAGGCCAAGAACAGGCAGACCCAGGGTGACCACGCCCCATGATGACCGGTACTTGCGTACCTTGCACCTCCGAAATCGCTTACTGACAGTGACGTCATCGGCGAGAAATGCCTTAGGTCACAGGGTTAGTCGACAGACAGTGGCCAGGAGACTCAGGGCTCATGGAATCAGGGCTTTTAGACCATACAGAGGGCAGCTATTGACAGGGCAACATCGTCGTCTGCGACTGAGATGGGCCCGGACTGTACGACGTTGGCAACGACGTGACTGGCAGAGGGTTGTCTTCACCGACGAAAGTCAATTCTGTGTGTTAAGGGCTGATGGAAGACAACGTGTTTACCGCCGAAGGGGTGAACGAACGGCGGCGTTTTGCGTGCAGGAGGTCGTACCATATCGTGGAGGGAGTGTCATGGTGTGGGGAGGGATCTGTGGGCAGGAGAGGACACCGCTGGTCATCGTTGACGGAAACTTGACAGCTCAGCGTTACATGGATAACATTCTTCGTCCAGTTGTCCTACCATTTCTCCAACAGCAGCCAGGTGGTGTCATTTATCAGCATGACAACGCTAGAGCCCAAACAGCCAGAATTGTCACTAACTTCCTCGCAGCCAACAATGTCAACGTCCTGCCGTGGCCTGCACGCTCACTCGACATGTCCCCAAAAGAACACCTCTGGGACTTGATGGATCGTCGTGTTCGACAACGACCACACTCTCCAGCCAACCGGCAAGAACTGATCTTGGCCCTCCAAGAAGAATGGCGTCAAATCCCACGTGACCTTATCAGACGACCGACTTTTTCTGTGCGTCGAAGAGTGTTTGCGTGTATTGAGGCATTTGGTGGTCACACACGCTACTAATGACTTGTTATTGAACGTGAGCGATTGTTTATGTACTCTGCCTATTGTCCATGATTCTGAAAGCTCGAGTTTTGTACCACACCCAACTTTGGGGGGCTCTGACGTCATTCTCGGTCACGGTATGATTGTCATTTTCAGTGTTGATTATGTTGATATATTGATCTTCTCAATACACTTTACTTCATGCATGTATGTTTTGTTGTTTTTGAGCAAGAGTGATTTCAAACTCTGGTAAAGTTTCTTTTGGACGTCAGTTTATATCAAGGCGGATTTTTAGCGTGGAATCATTTTTATCATTAAACGTTGTACCGCCGAACATCTCCGGTGTATGTGAGGTGAGGTGAAATGGGGTTTAACATGGCGTCAGAGATTATTGCACTTTTATAGAGACGTGCATGCACGTGTGTGTGACTGCTTGAACTTGCCCAGACTAATTCTTTAGTCCTAGCCCATTGAGATAACATGCAGCAGTTGAACATGAATACCCCACTTAGACACAGAATACTGACTCCGAACCGACCTATCCTTGCTTTATCTTATTACGTCTCACGGCATGACGCGACCGGGAATCGAACCCCCTACCTCTCCTCTCTCCGGTAGGATGCTACCACTAGAGCACGGAGGCAATATGTTCATTTTGTGTGAGGCAACGGCAGTGAGAGCTATATGTTGTCAACCGGTAAATAATTGATACTAGGCCAGACAAACCGGTGAGTGATATTCAGTGCAGGGAACTATGGAGGTAAGCATAATGTGACGTAGATAAGTTTCTAATACTTAAGAATATTTATAGAATGACCCACGAGGTACGAGTGATTACGAGTGAAATTGATGTTTTAAGTTCCGAGCTTTAGCGAGGAATTTACAACATTAATATCACGAGTGACATATTTTACGTAATCAGTCGTACCGAGTGGGTTATTCTATTTATTACCCATAACCATATTAATGACATTTCAAGGAAAACAAACCTGTCGCCGATCAAAAATCAGCTGTTTTGTATCAATCCGCGTGTGAAAAAATACTGTCCATTCACTCCAATCGCATTACTCATTTAACGTGTTGTTACGTGTGAAAAACATAATTCTGTTAAAGAACTGTAAAGATCACATTATTGCAGTTATATTTCTGTCCGATTTACACAGCGTACACTATCTATCAGGTTTTTTAATCAAGGCTTGTTTTGACAAGATCTCGTCACTGACAGACAGCCCCCGTCGTGCATCGGCAGAGACATGCATTTCACATTGAGAAGAGGAAACACGGAAAACCTGTCAAATTTTTTATGTGTCATTTGAAAAAAATGCCAAAACCTATAACAACAACATAGACAGAATGTCCAGAAGTCTTGTTTTTTAGAGAAAAGTTACGAAAAGAAGGTAAACTTTGAAAAATAAGATTGCTGTCACGGTGTCGTATTGAATGACCCGACTTGACCCAGATATGAGACAGCCGAAACCAGGAATGACAAGAGAACCGGCGTTACAGTTTAATCCGGACAACACATTTAAGATGGGAAACATGTGCATGTGGGATTTTAGGAAGACTTGTTAAACACGCTTGTGGAGTGGACACAGATGGCGGGAGTTTGCTGATATTTTGATGTGATTCATAATAGTCAAATACCTGTTGATAGACTATCTGGTATCTGGCACAGGCCCCTTGTACCTGGAGACTTTGTGCCAAGCTGTCCGCATTCACGGAGTTCATTTAGTTCAATATCGGACACAAGATCAGCTCGCTGGGGTAAGTTTTCTTTTCCTTGTATTTTTAATTATTTTTGTTTTGATTTCAAAACCTTTCCAAGTTCAACAGAGTACATCGATTTCGCAACCAGATGTTGGTAATCTTGTCGCTAAGGCAACACTCTATGCTACCCTTGATCTCCTTCAAAGTGGGCATTTCGAATTCTGAACCGTCTGATGTGCATGCCGAAATGATAAATTTGCAAAGAATAATGTTTAGTTGCACCTTTCCTGTGTCATTAACCCTCATGGTGCCAGGACGTCAGTCACCCTGCATGCCGCTCAGCGACGTCCCAGTTATAAAAATGTATACATTGGATAAAAAGTGTCTTCACTTCTACGAAATGGTGTATCTTTATGATGTCTTTCGGAAAGTCTAAATGTTGTTGCAAAATAAATTTGTTTTTATTCTCATGCCATCGTTGAAGGTGTGAGTAGTCTTATTTTTTGTGTTGTTCTTACCTGTATACATTTGTGCACCAAGTTCATGTAAACTTGTCAAGTTTCGTCTTTTTCATTGTGATTTCATTTTCATTGGCAGTTATCGGTGTCATCGTCGTTCACAAAGGCAAACCTGTCTGAAAAAAGTCCGGGTTTTTGATTCGGGTGGTCGAAAAATTCGTCAAACAGCAAGTCCTCTAACACAGACGCAAACCCGGACTTGGTGGTGTTGATCTTGGCGCACTAGAAACAGTTTCTGGCTACATCACAATCTGAATCTTGGAACTTCAATCTGGCCATATGCAGTTTAGACAACAAAGACATTAAATGTGTTCAGAGGATGAATAATTCGAATAACTCTTCATGTCAGTCAGATCTCCGTCCGCTTTAACGAGGTCATTTAGTTTGACAGGTGACAAATGGCCAGCCATGTTTGTTTACAAACGCGGATGTAGTTTTGGTTTTTACTCTCAATGAAATGAAAATCGTGTGAAATAACTAAAAAAATAATAATGCGAAATCATGTTGTTCATATGAACGTATGTTTTGTCTTAAAAATCTCGAATCAGTGAGATTGTAGCACGTAAAACATCTGAAGGGAAAGCCATTGATTTGTGAATGAATGGAATGAGAAAAAAATAGTTCCGTTGTCCAATGAAAATTGATCTTTGTTCAACTGACCAATCAGCTTCGAGAATCACTAATTGCACACTGTGCAAATATCAAAACGTTATTACACTGCAAATTTGAGCCCACGTGGGTAATAAAATTAATAAATGACCATGAAATGGCCTACTTACCCAGTTGGTTGTGCCACAAGATACTGTCACCGATATGAATCGACGGCTTGGGGCGTGAAATGGCGTTTCCGAGGAAGAACATGGCGGAGAAACAGCAACTTGAGAGCAGTCGTTTATTTGGACTGCAGTCTGCTGCTCAATCTCGTGCCCTGAGCAAAGTGTGTACATGTGGTAATGAAACTTTTCCCATTAGTCACCCCTTACGACAAGCATAGTCGCCTCTTACGACAAGCATAGTCGCCTCTTACGACAAGCATAGTCGCTTCTTACGACAAGCATAGTCGACTCTTACGACTAGCATAGTCGCCTCTTACGACAAGCATAGTTGCCCCTTACGACAAGCATAGCCGCTCCTTACGACAAGCATAG